TCGCTACTTTCGCACAAGCACCGCTCTTAGAGCGCCTTAAGGGTTTTCCTGTTATGCTTGTGTTTTGTCCTTAAGAAAAATCAGGACATTGTTCAGAAAAAAAGCGTACTATACCCTACCAGACAGTTATTATTCTCCACACCAGAGAAACAGACATTTTCAATTCTGCAACAGAATTAAATACACGTTTTTTGTATTTATTCATTTATTCTCATACAGGGGTAATTTAAATACATGAGAAAGTCATTTCATATGTATCATAATGTCATTGCAAGTATACAAAATAATCAAATATGCGAAAGAGATCATAATAACTCATCTAAAAACGTAACGAATGGAATTCCTTTACATTATTTACTCTTGGCAACTCAATATGCTCCATCCATATGGTTAACATTTTTGATATCTTTTTGCAACTTGCTGCAATCTTGAACATACTTTATTTTCCTTCAAAATTTAAGGTCATCTGCAAAAGATAAAGAAATGAAATATTTGATTTCTAAAGGTAGGTCACTGACGAAAATGAAAAACAACAGAGACCCAGATTGGACCATTCCGGCACTCTATACTTTAACTAGTATTTATCTGACTAGTTTGTACCAAATTTGATTATAAAAACTATATTATACCAATATGATGTTCAAAGTCTGTTTAACAGTTCCATATTGAAATAGTTTTCAACAGGAAATCATAATTCATTTCTCAAACAGAAATCGAACAGAATCGAATTTTCCTTGGTTCAACCAACTTTGTATCACTCACGGTTTCCCATTTTCCCATACTGGCCCTCCTCAACTTGGACACGTAGTATATTCAAAAATCACCTGATTTGACGTATAAGTATTCCTTGAAAACAAACAGTAATTATACTACCCAATTCCGAGATTCGTTTTAACAATAATAAAGTGATGGTTAATGGACAGCCATGAATGTCAATTTGAAACAATTGAGAAATTAAATCGATAACAAAAGTATGAAATGAAAACTTTTGACACTATCGCAGCTGATAGATTGTTCAGCTATGAAATGCCAGAAGATGATTAATTTCAAGGACAAGTAGTTTTAGCCAAATTTATATACAGTACAGATGCTTTGAAAAGAAATTCACTTTCAATAAAGACACTCGAAATAGATATTTAAATGGATTGAAGAACCATGTACTAGGAGGCTATCCAAAGGGTAATTTACACTCAATAACAATTTTCACAAATTCGGGTGACATTCTTATTTGGACGGACATCGACAACTTCATAAACCTGAGCGACCTTTCCCCATCAGAAAAATTCACGACCTCAGCCAGGTCTACAATTCTATCAACGAATTCATTTTTGCAACAAAGACAATAATTTTATGACAAGGACCATATTTTCTGATCAACCTTTACCTTGAATGGTCACGTTGGCCGACAAAATTTATATTTTACCGACCTCAATTAGTGTTTCTGATGATGGAGAGCTATAATTAAGTAAATACCTTAAAACCTAACTTGACCATCCAGCATTTTTTATAGCAGCTTTGAGTACTTTTTCTATGAGATCCTAGAAAAAGTACTTAACGCTGGAGTACACCTAGGGTGTTGGATATTTTGATTTTTTTATTTGAGAGATCTTCAATCATAATCATTCGCATGAATAACAGTGAATTATCTGAGAAATTCTTTAGAATACTAATCATTGGAAAGATCAAATTTGATTTGGCCTGTCGTTAAAAATAGCCCCGTCAGTTTGTTGAAAGTTGACGAAACGAAAAAAAAACTATTGTTGTTTGCTGATGAAAACTTAAAATATAAAATACCTATATCGTTCTATTTTAGAAAACCACAACAAAAACTGAATTATTTGAGATAAGTGAACAAGAGAAATTTGGAAAAGTAACAGTGAGTTAGTATGAATTTTTTTCATACCAAATATGTGAATGATTCATGATTTCTGAAATCAAAAACAGAAGAAAGGGAAAGGTTCAGACAGCGAACTTGACTAGGACTGAATTCATAATCTTGATTTTCAAGTTATTGATAATTTTAAATAGCTCAATATTGTTCAAATAGCCAGATGTTTTAAATCACCTGATTTGACGTACCTAGTTGACATATTATAACCTTTGAAAATTAATAAACAGTAATTATACAGATAAGTACAAATAAACAGTAATTATACATACACTGAAATGCCTACTTCTATGCATATTACTGTGAATTGTTAATAAACAAAAAAAAGAAATAGGTAAAACGGATATTCTATTCGCCAATTGCACATATATACCTACGTACGTACTAGGTATACTTCAATACCAAAAAAATCGCTAAAATTGATGATACACGTTGTTGGATAAAACAGCAAGTATAATTAGAACATGATTTATGGAATAGGTTTCAATCTACAGATCAAATATTGAATAATATAGGTAGGAAGATGTATTCTCATAGCTGGGTACTGTTTAGTGTCTAAATACATATAATTGGGTAAAAATAAATACCGAGTGATTATTTTCACATTCCGTTTTTCATTATGCAGAAATAAAGAAAATTTAATTCATCAAATGTATGTGAAACAAGCATATTCTATTATCTGTCAGAAAGATATACATATAAGTCGTCAACAATATTTCTGTCTATTAATCACTACTCAATGTTATTC